ATATCGTATTATCTACAATGATTTTCCTTATTTTACGTTATGTATTATTTCGTGAATAACCCGCATCTTCTTCATCCGCTCGTGTTCCATGTGGGCCAAGGATAAGCCGAAACGAGACACTCGTTAAATTTGTGTTTTAAAGAAAGTTTATAAGTTCAATTGGCAATGAACGTCATCTCTTTTGTTATGATAATGTAATCGGAGCAAAGCTCAAAGGCATAATCGACGGCGGAAGAACTGCGGAGTATGTATTGTCGCAATTGAGCGGTCTTATTACGACAATTACATTAAGACGTGTATACATTGCAAAGACCTTGAAATTAAAACGATCAATATTATTTTTTTGTTCACTTAATGGAGGAATCTTCAAATATATACATCGCACGTTAAGGCGTAGGACCGTCTTACAAATTTCACGATTTACATAATTGAAAAATTGATCCAATTGAACGGTTCATGCTTCAACTAGCGAATACTATTCAAAACATAGATATAAGTCTACTTACTATAACAAGAATAAATATATTAATAAAGTAAAGATTTTATGAAATTTTTTTTTACATTGACACAAACTACGTTAAAAATAAGAGATCCCAGAAATGATATAATACAAAGGAATATATTTATACATTTATTCTTCGTCGAAGGAATTTTTGCGTCTCATTCATAACTAGAATCAGCACTATACGCAAAGATTCTTTTTTTTATGTAAAGAGTCTGAATGACAGTGACGAAAGTCGCAGCATAACGTTCACGCAAAGTTCAGCCGATTTACGCCTGATAATATCTTATTCATGCGTGATAACGGGGGGCGTAGGTCGGATCGTAACGCCTCTGCAGTATCTAAATTGCGAGCGTTTCGTCATTCTCTCGGGTCGTCTTGTCTTCTTTGCGTCACTTCGTCGTTTGCTTCAAGATGCTGGTGCGATATTTTGCGACGCTTTCTGCATAATTCAGTCGGTGCGACGTATAAACGGGGTTAAAATATCGTCACAACATCCGTTCGGGAGGACCAAATCATCGCGTCGTATGAAATTTACGAACGACGTATAAGGTGACTTGATTGTACGCGTGACCATTGCGTAGTTTCCTAATTTTGTGACTCTTATAAATACTTTGTGAAACGACGAAAGATAGAGACTCGAGAGGTCTTCGCCATGCGAAGACGAGAGAGATTATTTTTGCCCTTCGTCGCATAAACGACTGCGCAGATTTATCGGTGGAACTGACGAACGCGTCTCTCTGGAGCCGCTTTGGACAGATGATGCGTCGGGACGCATCCGCGTCGCGACGACATTTGTACATTTTATTCGTCGGCGAACTGACGGACGAGAGGCGACGACCGCGGCGTCATGGATTCCATTCGCAGTCTCTTTTAAGCGAAGCTTGCACATGTTTGGCAATCTGTGAATTGGTCCTTGTTGCACCGAGCACTTATAATAGCTTCTTTAAAAACTGATTTATTTGTATTGGATTTAAAAACTGGTTTTACATTTTATATAAAAAAATACATTATATTTAAAAAAAATCATAGTAGAATTAGTTATTAAATACTATTAATAAAATTAAAATAAAAAATTCGACATTTACACATACATTAATATTTCGTATTTAATATTGATATACTTAAAGATAAATAAGAAAAAAAATAGCATGTTCTTTTACTATTCAAATAAATCACAATAATCAAGGATCAATCACTGGTGCTTCTTATTTGCATTTTGATCCACGCCTCGTGTCTATCGGCTTCGCAGTAAAGAAGCACGTCGGCGCGCTTAAATGGCGTGACGAAATTCGCCGTGCCCAATTCCGCCCCGGCGAGACGCGATGGTTGTTTTATACCCTCCGAAGATACGACCGGAGTTTAGACGTCGCGGCGGCATCCGGGCGCCGACGAGTCTGGACTTTTCAAGCGTATAACGGCCCCTGTCCCCTCTCTCACTCCCTTCCTGCCGCCCAGTTAGCTTTTCAGACGTAATTCCCAAGTTGATCTAGACCGCACGCAAGAATCCGTAACTTTGGCACATTCGACGTTAAACTAGCGTCGATGTGACGCGTGAAATTTTATTCGATAGTAGAGAAAAAAGTAATAAAGTGAGTTCCCATTTCGTTTTTTTATATAACTTTATTTTTTTATATTCGAGTCAATGATATCTTAAACTATAATTTATTGATTTAAGTTTAATATACAACAGACTTGAAATGATTGAGTTTACAAAATGAGAAAAATCGTTTAAATGAAAAGAGACTTTACGATGTGACTGTCTGAATGTGACGGTAAAATGAGTCTCCCTGTACTTTTACAGATTCTGATTTCTTCATATTTGAACTTCTCATGAAGTCTAAATAGAGATGTTCCTTGCTCTGATGAAGTGAGCGGGAAGATTCACGAAACGTTGGCATTAACGGTGGATCATGACACGGCGATAACCCACAAATTCTTTGGCATCTCTGACGAAAATACCCGTGAAAATTTCAAAAGTATCATAAAGTCTAAATAGATTGAATTCGTAGAAAATTCTGAATGTATTGATATATTATCAGATTCAGAAGTTTCTTTCCATGAATAAGTTTCCCTAGTAATATTCTTGTATTGATTCCTTGTAAATGTTTACCAAGAGCACTTCTTCGGAAATATCTCGCTTCGCAAATATCTCGAGGGGCTTTTTAAAATCGTCTTAAAATAACTACAAAGATTTTTATAAACAAATTATACTCTGCAACGTTTTTCATTAAAAATGCCGGGTCCACATAACCTATTTATTAAGGGACTTAACATAGAAACATTAATAAAATTTACATTTAATTATGCCCCAATAAGAAAATATAGTTATTTAAGCTTTCTTATTTATTTCAAAATAGAAGAATAACACCTTGAAAATTAATTTAGGGTATAAACTCGTTATTGTTATCAACTTTAAACTACGTTAATCATGAAAAAACTTTGAAATACCTCGTATAATAGGTAAACATCAAGTGTCAACAAAAGAAAAAGGTCGTGCCAGTCATAGCAGTAATTTTTTCACAACTTTGATCCTATCTTAAAACTTTTCGTAAAAGAATTCAATTATAAAGACGTTAATTCAATTAGAGCCCATATTACCAGCGTAGTAGTAGCAGTTTATCTTCTACTGAAATATGAGTCTCATAACGAGACTCCATTCATTCGAATATAATTCGAGATGAATATTTTAAATAAACAAATTTGCAAATGTTTTTTTCGCGTTAATAAAATATGTTGAAGTAAAATTCTGTTATAACTCAAATCAAAAATCACATAAACCTATTAATGTCTAATTTAGTAACCATAATAAAAAAAACTATAATGTAATAAAATATGTAATTTTCTATCGTTACGTTTTCAAATTAAAATACTGTCGATAACAAAGATAAAAAAAACTCGCTATCTGCTTTTGAAATCGAATCACGTAATCCCGTTCTAGATGGACGGATTTATTTATATTCGATTATCGCTTTTCTATAGACAATCTTATAGAAAACGAGTCACGCTTCGTTTATGCTTAGCAAACTTTAATCTTTTCAGGTCGAATGCACTTAAATCGCAAGTCATTGTGCATTCTGCCAAAGAGACCCGGATGGCGTTTCTTCCCATCGCTTGGCTAACGTTCGTAGAAACCGGAAGTACCTCCGACCCGCCTCCCTTGCGACTCTCGCACCATGCGGTGCACTATCGCGCGACCGTAAAAAGGCGCCTTCTTGATCGCCAACCGCGGGGAGATAAGATCGGCTGGTACCCCGTTGCTCGAACACGTTTGTTACCTCCGTAATACCACCTTGGGACCTTATCGCCCTATGCCACTTCACCTTGATAACGACACGATAGTGTTCATGGTACTAACAGTGCGTGATAAATATGAATGCGTAGTTGCGCGCAATTTCTTGTCGCAAACTAGAGAGAGACGGACTAGAGTGACGTAAATGATCTAAATTAGAGGTCTAGAAGTCAGAAAAGTACAATTATGCAAAAAAATTTACGCTCTTATAGACAACACAGATACGTAAAACTTTATATATTCAAATCAGATTTTATGCCAGTTTTTACCAGTATAGATTAGATAGAGTAGAAAAACATAATTGAACTAAGACTAAAATTAATCTACAATGGTAAAAATAGATTTTAATCTTTCAGGTTAAACTGCAGAATCTGTCTATCAGTTTGAGTTCGCGTCGAATGTACTAAGGAATCATACGTATTATAACACACAAGAGGAATCCCTTCCTTTTTCTTTTCATTGGACATTTCGTAAAGTACAATGCATTCACTATCCGAGTTGTGTGTCGTCATGATTATTTTCTAAGAGGAATGCTATTGTGTGTACCGGCACTTTCTAGATGTAATGTCGAGCGCGAATGTTATTTATTATATGTGTCGGTTGATTCAGGAAAACACAGCGCCACTTCGCGATCAGATATTCGAAACAATCTGAGAAATTTTATTTATCCGCTTACGCGTATTTTTATTAGCCTTTCAACAATGTTTGTCATGAATTCTTGATGTGGTCGGAACAAACACGTTTCAAATGGCAAGAAATTGTTGATGGCGAAGGAATACATAATCAATTGGAAAGGTCTCACAAAGTTATACATATCTACAATTGACGCGAGACACTATTTTGTGTCTCTCGTTAAGCTATTTTTAATTGACTCGGCTTATTTTAATTGCAACATTTATCAAGGGTGCGCATGAATTTATGAACTAGTATAATGAATATCTACCTATTTTTCAATAACATCATAATTATAACTGCATAAGTACTATTTAACATATAGTATTTAAGAGAAATAGATTGAGTTCGAGTTTTAATCGCTATCATTGCTTTCCATTAATTCTTTTCAATCCGCTTAGTATTTTCAACTTCGTACAATGCCATTACCTCTAAATAAATCGGTTTACTACTTCACGAACCGATCGACCGCGTGACTAAATTAATTCGTTTTTAACGAGCAATCTCAATAGAGCACTCTGATGTCTGTTGCAGGATGAGAAGGTCACGATGCTGAGACCCGGATCCTTAGTGGGCCTGTTGGCCCTCGTGGCCGTGCTGAAGATCGCGGACTCGAATCGTTGTCTGACAATGCTGGAAGGTAAATCGCCGGTCATTATCGTCAGCCCGATCGTTGCGGCTCAATTACAGCGCATTTGTCAGCTTCGAAGATGCGATATCATTGCCATGCCATCGAAAAATCGGCGCCATGTGGAATAATCCGCTAATTGCCGCGATGGTTAGGCGCGGCTTAAACATTAATTGAATCGCTCTCACGATTCATCCGTGCACGATCATTCAGTCGATGAGTAATTAGTTATATCGAGCCTCGCGGTATATAATTACGAGCTGAATGCATTCCGTATGCGTTAATGCCGCGTAGTTTACTCGCTTATTATCGAACTCTTAAACATAGTCATCTCGCGGATTGGCAACGGAACTTGCTCTGGCTACATGTTTTTCTCAGATGTTTACATTGTATGGTATGGACAGTAGAGTGACCTTGTGTTTCTACATACGCATTTCTACGAATGCGTTTCTACATACACAACAATCTTCATCTCGCACGTTTCTCAATCATCATACATATAAACTTGTAATTTTATTGCACTCAATCAAATTTTGTACAAAATTCCTTTTTTTAAATTATTGATTCCTCACGATTATTTTAATTCAAAAGATTTTAATTTGGAATTTTTCACAGAGGTCAATCCAAAGAGAGTGATTCAATACGAGGGACATTTTTTAAATATTCAGTTCGAAGTGTCGAGGAGAGTGACACAGAGGTTGGCGTCAGAAATCATGAAGATTTTTCTGACCGAAGTATTGGGCTATACTGGAGTCGCCATTATCGAGAAAGATGACAACTTCAACGTGTCCGAAGTCTTTGAGAGACTATCTGAAAGGCCAACATACACCGAATTAAAAATGTAAGACGAATGGACAATTGTAGACATCGTGTAACATTAAAGTTGACTTTGCAGAGCTCCATGAATATCTCACAACTTTTCTTTTTCAATTCTTGGATTGTAATAAAGTTTGTAAAGTTTGAACATCTGTTTTTCAATGAGTTCGTAAATAGATATACTGATCTTTTACGATATTTGTATAAAACGAATGGAATACACTAATATATATATATATATATATATACGCACACATATATATACTATATATATGTATACATACTAGATGTCATATTATATCAATAATTAAAACAATGTTTGAGCGAATTATAAGTACGAAAAGAATGATTTTGATAAATTACATAAAAGTTTAACTAGCCACAGATTTGAAAATTCTTCAAGACTGATTCCACTTTCACTCTTTAGAGTAAGAGTCTACTCCAAATAATTTAGAGAGTAAGATCACCAACTTCTGGTTCGCTCATTTTCAATCAGAAATTTTTTTAGTGATAGCTAAATTTTTAGATATTTCAGTAAAACCATCTTTTTCATGTAATGATTGAGAACACTTACTATCATGTATGGTACTTACTATTAGCAATGTTCTTTTTTGCTGACCGATTATATTTCATTTTTACAGTAATGCTTTCTCCAGCAAATATTCAAATTGTATTTATCAACAATAATCAAATTTCTTTGCATCGCTTCTTAATTATTTAAAAGTATTTATTTTCATACAAATTTCAAACAAACTGTATTTTTCTTGAAGCATAAGATATTGCAAACATTGCAAATTCAAAATGTAGGTATTGAATTTGTTAAGTTGTCTACTAATATACTTCAATTTAAGGCGTTTTGAAACGTATCAATTATTGATTAACAATATTTTTCTGACGATTTAAATACGTTACAAAATGAAATATAGTCAATTAATATTTGGCAATCACAAAAAGATGAAAAAATATCAAGCTTTCAAATTCAATGTCTCCTTTTTGATAGAATGAATGATCATGATTTATAAGCGTTACGAATTATTGACGATTCTGTTACATATTTAATATCTCCTCTATCTTTTGAGAATATGATTAAAAGTTTAAACTACTGTAACTAACAAACTTACATCACTTTCAAACTCCGCCGGAGAGATGTACGTGCGTTTAAACCGAGCGATTAAGAGACATTCCTGTCTCAATTACAGATCTCCAGAAATAATGGTGAACATGGAAGTGTGGATTCCGCCGCAGCAAGACACGTCGCCGCTACTGAATAAATACGACGTGAAGGAATGCGGCTCGATAGCGCCACCAGGTCACTTTGGCTGGTTTGTTCCGGAAGCATTAGCCAGACCTGATGATAATTGGCTAATCTTTTCCGGATTAAAGACTGCCAGCAGGTTCGCCATCGACGAGGCATACCTACCTATCGTTAAGAAATTTATGATAAACACACAAACAGGGGAATATTACTGCCATGAAGCTTTTTGCCAACATGGGATGTACATCCCGGAACAATGTCACGGCCAAGACCAGCAAAGGTCGCCGAACTGCGCACTGCTGCTAGCAGAATACCCTGATGTAACTCGTTTCATAAAAGAACATATCGATCAGGCGAAGCTCTATGTTAAGGTGGCGTGGGTAGGACCGAATCTCAGACATCTAATCAAATATTTGACCAAGGAATACGAGTATATGCTCGCACAAAACTCATCGACTTCGATTGAAAACAGGTATTGATCTGAAAAGTACCTAATTTTTTTTGGATCGTCGATCGATACCATAAGTACTAAGACCCTATATCAGTATCTGGCTACGAGTAATTTGACCAGACTCTCATATAGGATCTCTAATGAGTACTATACGAAAAAAGATGTAAAGTTTTATAACAAAGTTTTTTTTTTTTAGATCACTGGTGGTTCTGCACTATACACCCAGCAGCGTGATTCCGAACGAAAGGGAATTTACAACGATCGACTTTCCACGTTGCGGAATGAAAAACGATTCGATCGGCTGCATGTATGAGTCCAACAGACTGACAAAACTAGTGTGGAATAGGTTGGAAGCGATTGCGAAGATCGCTTTTCAAGCGATAAATCGCGCTAAATTTAGTCGAGAGATGTATGAAGTTTTGATCACACGTCGTTTAGGAGCATCAATGAACGTCTCGGATGAACAAATCGCCTGCGATTGGTTAAAGGATAATCTGAAATATGTCTTAACAGAATGGAAGCCCAGCAACGACGACAAAAATATCCTCTTCGTAGGTGGTATATTTCCCATGAGCGGCAACTCGTACATGGCCAAATCGATCGTGATCGCCGCTAAGATGGCGAAAGAAGTCATTAACATTAACAATACCCTGCTGAGAGATTACAACTTGACTCTACTAGCCAGTGATGGTCAATGCAAGTCGGATATGGTGATGAAATCCTTCATCGACTATATCATACATAATTACTACCAAAAGCTGGTTGGCGTATTGGGACCGGCTTGTTCGGAAACTGTGGAGCCGTTGGTCGGTGTGTCGAAACACTACAGAACAGTAATAATCAGTTACAGCGCAGAAGGATCTAGTTTCGATGATCGCATCAAATATCCGTATTTCTTCAGGACCATTGGTGAGAACAAACAGTACAAACATGTCTACGTGCAACTTTTGCAGAGACTAGGCTGGCATCGAGTGGCTTCATTGACGGAGGATGGACAGAAATATACTGAGTACATATCATACATGCAGGATATGCTCAGAGACAACAGCATCGATTTTGTGGCGAACGTAAAGTTTCCAAGAGAGCGAGAAGCTGACGTCATGACGAAAGTAGGTTTAATCTCGATTTATGGGAATTATATAATCATTTGTTTTTCCATTATTATAAAAAATGATAATGGAAGCAATAGAATACTATTAAAAATTACTAATGAAAATGCATATAAATTATTTAATGTTTAGGCTAGAACTTGAGATTTTTATGTTTTTTTATAATATTTATGCAAAAACTGGTAAATATCTAAACTATAATAAACAATTTTATAATATAAATTAATTTTCAGTATTTGCAAAGTTTGAAAGAAAAACGAGCAAGAATTATTATCGCAGACGTGTACGGTGAAGTAGCTCGTCAAGTCATGTGCGAAGCATATAAACTAGAGATGACAGCTGTCCAGGTAATAATTATAAATATTATACTTCGTCCATTTTTTTTTTTTCGAATAAATCGTAAAAGCATAAAATTAAAGATAAATTCGGTAATTTGTATGTTTCAATTAATTCTTGTTTTAAAGGGGTACGTCTGGTTCCTTCCGCTTTGGCTTCGATCACAATGGTACGATACCGATTATTATAATGAGAAAGGCGAGCAGGTACCTTGCACCACGAGTGAAATGATGAAGGCCATAAACGGACATCTCGGTCTGTCGCACGCATACTTCGCTCGAGATGACGATATAATGCAGGAGGGAATCACTGTGCGTGAGTGGCGTGAACGTTACGAGAACATCTGCCGAACGCAGAATCAGCAACCCTCTAACTACGCCGGTTACGCCTACGACGCCATGTGGACCTACGCTTATGCTATAGATCGACTTATCCGTGAGAACCAGAGTTATGTCTTCGATCTTCACAGCGACCATACGGTCAATCGCCTTACGCATATTATCGGCGAAACCGATTTTTATGGGGTTAGTGGAGCAAATATTTATCGATTACATAATTAATATTCAAAAGATTGGTGAGAGTATGGCACTTTAATTTTTGTGCAAAGCTTCTATATAGTTATACTTAAATTAAAAGAACATACTTCCGGATGTTTCGGCTACATTTCGTGCCATTATTAGCAACATATTCATAAATTTCATCCTCCCGGGTTGAGATCAAATCCTTACTCCGATTTCCAATTTGTTATCGTAATTGGAAATTCAGATGTAATTTATTAATCTATTATACATATAACATTGTAAAGAAAAAATATATAGGGTAGCCTATTATAATCGATAATTTTTCTACTTTCGAAGAATTTTTTTGAGATATTTCGCAACCGCGGTATACCTACACGAACAATAGGTTGCAATAATTAAATATATTTGTATTTATCAGGTATCTGGAAGAATAAAATTTTTAGGTGGACCATCGAGATACTCTGTTATCAATATTGTTCAGTTTGTCGATAATGAAACGAACATTGTTGGTAACTTTTATCCAAATATCTCAGAAGCCAAGCACGAAGTAGTGGGCGGCATTTTGGACTTGAATATTTCGGCTTTTGTTTGGTTATCGGAGACGATGCCTGATGATGGTTCCGAGCCTCCATCGAGATGTGTTTTAGGAGGATTAGCGGAACTGCTAGATGTTTCTTGCGAAGTAGCGATTGTGGTCGCTAATATTATCGGATTTGGCCTTCTTGGAGCAGTTTTGATCGTCAGCTTCATCATCATTAAACGAAAGTACGTTTATTATAATTTTGCTATTCTATATTTATTATGTCGTAATATGCGCATTATACGATATAATACATGCAGAAAGCAAATTTTATCAAGGCATTATTCCTAAAAATTTTATTTAACTGTACCTTCTTTTTTGTTACTTGTTTAGCTATGACAAAAAAATGCAGATTCATGAAAAGTACATGAAGTCTCTGGGTATCCTATCACAGATGGATACTTCTAGTTTGGATGTATGGGAAATTCCGCGAGATAGAGTAGTGATCAATCGAAAAATCGGAGAGGGAGCCTTCGGTACCGTTTACGGTGGTGAAGCTTTCTTTTCTGAGAAGGGCTGGCTCGCTGTAGCCGTGAAGACTCTGAAAGTCGGTAGCTCGACTGATGAAAAACTGGATTTCCTTAGTGAGGTCGAGGTCATGAAGAAATTTGAGCATTCGAATATTATTAAGTTATTGGGTGTGTGCATCAAGTCTGAACCTGTGTTGACCGTGATGGAATTTATGCTTTACGGCGACTTAAAGACCTATCTGTTGGCCAGAAGACATTTGGTCAATGATCGAAGCTACGAGGATTCCGACGAGATATCGAATAAAAAATTGACCGCCATGGCGTTAGATGTCGCCAGAGCGCTCAGTTATTTAGCGCAATTAAAATACGTTCACAGGTGAGTCAAACAATTTTAATCGCTGTCTATGATTAGTGATGACACAATTTTATATACATCCTTATATATTCTTTTTTTTTTCCGTTAGGGATGTTGCCTCGCGCAATTGTCTAGTAAACGCCCAACGAGTAGTAAAACTTGGTGACTTTGGTATGACGAGACCAATGTACGAAAATGATTATTATAAATTCAATCGAAAAGGTGAGAGAAGATAAACAAAGTTTTTGTCTTCACAGCATTATGATTTTACGAATAAAATTTGTTTCGTTTAGGTATGCTACCAGTAAGATGGATGTCGCCGGAATCGCTAGCATTGGGTATTTTTACGCCAGCGTCTGACGTTTGGTCTTACGGCGTATTACTCTACGAGATCGTTACATTCGGTAGCTTTCCTTTCCAAGGAATGAGCAATAATGAGGTACTCACGCATGTAAAGGCTGGCAATTGCCTCACTGCGCCGAAAAAAATAAAAATGCAGCTGTAAGTAGTCATCCTGATGATACTGGTCATATCTCATTTATCACTCGATTTATATTTAATGTTCTGTTTGCAGCGAAAATTTAATGTATATTTCTTGGCGTTGAATCCTCGTATCATTGCACCTTGTCTGGACGTGCCCCTATCGAGCGTGCAATTAGAGCACACTGCGCAACTCGATATACAACTATCAGAGAATAATCGGAAATTTTCCCTTTTATGGCAACGTCAATCTTCGCAAACACAGGGACTAAAGATTCCAAATTCACCGACCCCGCTTCTGCTAGACTTGAATGGGCAGGACGATGATCATACTTTGGATTCCCTGATTAGTCAATCTTGCGAACAGGACAGTTCTAGTCCTTTACTGGATTCCACAAGAGCCTCTGTCTTGAAGCAAACGTGGCTTCACGGAGATTCCGATGTAAAAGACAAAGAGCCTCACAAGTATGTTAACCTTCAACCGAGTATGCTGAAGATATCCTGTGAACCTGGCAGAAATGGTAGCGCTGGGAATATTCAAATGGAAGAAAGAACGTCCATGTTGGCAGAGAAGAAAAGCACCGATGATGTGTCAGTGCTCTGACGCAAGTAGACGATTTCATGAAGAAATTGGAAACTAGTCAGATGCCTCGAGGTACATTCGATTAAAGAGAAATGACTGTATAAGGTCAAGGTCAGAATCCACAAAGACGGTGATCATTCCGGAATGGAGCAAGAAAGTTAATACATGAACGAATTTCAAGGTATTCGCCTTCGTCGAAAATGTAATAACCAAGGTCATACTAAAGAATTGTTTGAATCGAGAGAGAATAAGCTCTCTCTGATGTGGCATTTTAATTAACCAGATATTCGCTTTTTTGGATTTAATTTTTTTTTAACAATATGTTAATCTAATTGATTACGATAATTCAACAATGAACATTTTCTCTCTTCTTAGAGAATTCCTATTGCGGGTAGAATTCCTATTTGAGTAGAGCGTCCTGAAATATAGCAAAATTTGATCTCGAATGAATGAAAAAAAACTCAGCGATGAAGCCTAAGTACCCGCAAAAAAATGATAGAATGTAAATTATTTAAACAATAAGATCTTGGTAACACGCATCTTTTTATAAATACGTCATATGCGTAAATGCGCTCATAAATTAAAACAAATATCTTCAGCAGATTAAAACGAAGATATTCAAACAGAAATATAAAATTGAAAAACTATATAAGCTATATAAAAACAGCATATATAAAATAAAGAAAAACAAGAGTATCAATTTAAATAACTTAGATTGATACAGAAAGCATGTATACTACTCGAGACAACTAGCTATCGATGGCGAAATTAATCTACTTTTGAGACTGACTTCCATTGCGAAATTAAGTCGCATCATCTGACCGTCGTAGACACGGATGACCGACATTATTCGTCATCGCAGGCAAGCAACCAAAGGGTACAAAAGAGAAGAGCTGCTTCTCGTAAATGCGGATTTCGCGACGAAAGCGAAAGAGACGATCGACGTCGGTGCATCCTTCATCCAGTAGTCCTGTCGTCTTCTGCTCAATGCATCTTTAAGACTGACTCTCGAGATGGAAGGGACGCATCGTATATATATCGTTCTTTATCCTTTTTCCTCTATTTTTGATTCGAGTCACGTTTCGAGGGAAAGCTAGCGCATTTTTTAATAGATCCGGTGTTTTGCGAGTGGCGACGTGTTCGTGTGACCATGACATTTTTTTAAATCAATACACTTATAAAAAATTCGGTAATTTTCCTCCCCTTTTTAACCCTTTCACTATCCAGACGTTTTTTTTTATTATTTCAGTAATTTCAATTAAAATCAGACATCTTAAAAGAATTTTTTTTTATTCTTAATGAAGACTGCATTTTTATATAAAATCGATATATTTAAATTACACTTATTGTTAAATTTATTTTTAAATTTTAATCTTAACATTGCAAATTACTGGTTAATAAAAGGAATTATAATGACTAGGAAAAAATATCCTGGTGATATACGGGACATTGAAAGGGTTAATATCTCCTCGCGAATGCGACTACGCGTTTGTCGATTATGCGTCGCCATCGTATTCACACTCACATCACAATTTAATTAATATCGTAAGACTAATCACCGACTGGCTGCATACTCGATCAGATGTTTATTATTCTGATTATTTATTGATACACGAGTGGATTTCTTGCGAAAGATTTTTTTATACCAATATATTTCTCGTTAAGGGTCCACTTAATAGCATTCTTGTATAATGTATAAAGTAGTGTTGCCAGATGACAGATAGCACATCCTATTTTGTGTAAATATATTTGACCCTTTCCGGTATCATTTGACAGTTCCTTCAGAACGTTTCTTTTCATGTTCCTGCATTCTTAATGTAGATAAATGCTAAAAGATGTACATATAAAAAAATATATATATCTTTTTTTCAAAGTGATTGTAAGGAATTGTAAAGAATTTGGCGAAGCTCTACATATCACTTTCTAAATAAGTGATTTATATGTAAACAAAGCGTGCCATTTGTTAGGCAACCAGTTGTGCAAAAAATTGTGTGCAAGTAGTTATTATACTTGAGTAGAATTATAAAAAGCTGGAAAGGGTTAAAACTTTCAGCATCCGCTGTTCTATTTAATGACTGATAGCTGTACAAAAATTATAAATTAAAACTAAGAGATAGAGCATCAAAGACTCCAATAGAAAAGTATTTTTAATTCTCAATTCCAGTTCGTAATTGTTCGAGCATATTGGCCGCGTTGCAAAAACGTGTTTTCAATTATACTACTATATTGTACATAGTATAATCACACGTTCTTCGCGCGCATTATAAAGCAGTACACATGATATTCATTTCAATATCACTATCCAACAATTTTACGAAGACTTATTTATCATTACACAATTATAATTTTGTAATACGTATGATTTGCAAAAGCTCAAAGGCTCAAAGGTAGACAAATGTCACTCTACACAAATAAAATAAAAATGTATGTATATATATATATTATATATGTACATATATATATATATACAACGCAGGAGATGAGTTAAAAATAGAAAAAATTATTTATTTTTAATTATTTTATTATTTTAATTTTTTATACTGTACGGATAGCGGCTTTTTCTAATGTACAAAAAATTCGAGTTTGTAACAATATTTATATGTACAACTTATATATGTATATATTTTAAAAATATCGATACGCCAACACATCGCGAATATATGCATCACGATGATCAGAAAATTAGTTCTTATCATTGTGTACAGTTATAATAGATCAAGTGACATCGACAGTTTTTTTTACTATTCGTTTGATCGAAGAATAATATTCGCGTTGGCATACTTCTTCAGCAGATATAGACTATAAGGCTCAAAAAAAGTTTTTAGATACATTTGTACATATCGCGACATGTTGCTATGTCCTTCCTCTAGTAGTTAACTTCATAAAAATAATCTTGGCGATTTTGCCAGATGTATGCTATTACTCTTAGAGCATGTATAGAGTCCTTGAATTTACTCGCTACGGATTATATCAATGTTATTTATTGTCGACATATATTTTAGTCTGCGGCGAATGATATTCGCAACGTACGTTCCCCTTGAGCATATATTTATTGAGCTTTCTGAAATTAAATAATATTAAATATCTAAATTTTTTAATTATTCACATGACCATTCTTTTTTATATGTATATTTAAAGCAATCTAAATTTATTTCAAATATTTATATTGATAGATAATGTTATTTAATATCTAATATATAATCATGTACTTTTAACGTTATTTTTATTTCACGAATTTAAACCATAGATAATACACATATGTCATAAATCCAATTTTCGTATATTGCATGTATATACTCTTCAAATTCTTTGTGTAATAATTGTTGTATCGTAATTATTTATCATTGATTATTGAAATCTTTTATGATTTTAATTACGGCTTTATAAGTATAAAGAAAAAATATAGAAACTAATGTTCAAAACAATAAATGTATTTTATAAGCAATCCGTTGTTTGCTCCTTTTATATAGCAACACGTTCATCTTCTATAATATGTAGGATAGTTTCATTCAGGCTGAACGCTTCATTCAGATTTAAAATATATCAGTAGCAAGAGAGATTTATAGCTATAACAGAGCGTAAAAGCGAAACTATTTTTTGATAAATTATGTAACTATTAAACTGTACGAAAAAAATTTAAAGCAATATTGTATCAATACATTATATCTACTGAAATAATATTTAAAGTATCATCAGTAGCTACACACACTGATTTCAACAGTCAGTTTAGAATTAGTTTCTGTTTCTTCCGACAGCTTGCGCCACCATGAACTATTCTTGCACTGAATTCATAATGCACATCACATATTTTGAATAATATAATGCAATATCACATAAAAGAGTTATAAAATACAAAATTATTTCTTAATAGTGCTGCTTAATAATTAAATAACTTTAATTGTAAATATATTTAAAATAAATTTACGACTCGATTTCTAAATAGTAAATTGACACTACAAGTACCGAACGGTCATTACTGAATACGTTTTTATTTTTTAGATTAATATTATATTTTGTGTAAAAGATGAGATTCTGAAAATTTTTTATTTTTCAATAATTATGTCCTTTACCATATATGATGAAATATATGGTTTTTCATTTCTTTTTTATTTTTATAATTTATTCGTTTGAATAAATCCCTCCTTTTTTCAGTGAGCAACGAACGTTGGTGTTCTTCTAGTGTTAAATGTACATTGCAATATCGTTTCAACAAATATGTTCAATAATTTCATATAATAATAATTAATATATTGTCACGAATATTTCTGCATGTCAGAAATTTTGATTCGCGAGATACATACACATGCCAGGCATTTCAGAATCGCGCGCCATAATATCTCCATTGTCGGCTATTTATTTAGCGGCAGCCTAAAAGAAAGAAGACTCGAGAAAGCTCTCCCCGACGATGTACGTTGTAAGTCTTCCCGGGCGACGTTTCCGACGCGTATATGCGGGTATTCGCGACTGAATTCTGTGCGACCGCAGATATTCGCGATAATAACGGAGTAACTCTCAGTATCTTTACCGCGCAGCTACTCGCACATACTTTTCACGACACACCACGTGTATACATACATGCATTCCGTTCAAATGATCAAAAGTCGCTCGACCGGCCCATTGTTTACGCGGGCGTACATCGCAAGTTGGCTTCTCTAGCTTTTCTAGAGATGAAGATAACATCGTATACTCCGGCGAACGGAGGCCACGGGGGGTCCGCTCTCTCTCTCTCTCTCTCTCTTTCTCTCTCTCTCGCAACAGGTCGCGTGTTCCTACCTGTTACGACTGTTCTCAGGAGCCCGGTCATTATAATGTTAAACGATTCGGCAGAGGTCCGTGTTAACGCGCCGACGCTTACATCAACGGGCTCCTGCTCTCTCGATATGGAGCGCGGTTATTATTACATGATTCTGAAACAGTGAGTTGCTACAACGTGCTACGATATTACTATGGTAATCATATTTCTTAGATATGGGAGACAATAACACACTGATGATCGCGTTAAATCATGGGAAAAAAGATACTACATATTTCAACAAGCTTTTTACATAATTCTTTAAGAAAGATTTTAGATTTTTCATAATTGTATTGTGCAAACACGTAGATCGAGTTGTATTGAGCTATCGAATCGCTTTAGTTTATATCATTTTATATAATTATATAATCGCTTTAATTTAGAAAACGATACATGTATATGTAACGAAACACACATATATATATATATATATATATATAATCTCTTCTTCATCATGAGGACATTTTCGACGTCCTTGGCGATCGTAAAACGATAATAATCTGTCCCATGAACTGGTTTCTACAGAGACACGCAACGTACTGCTTGTAAAATTATATTTGGTAGTAGATCTGATAAGGATTAAATAATGGTCAGCAGAGAGTGCCAGAGCGAAAGTTCATAACGAAGCGAGAAATTCCAGAGCATTTCCATATGTTTGTCCTCATTTAGCACCTGCATATATATATGTATAGATATATATATATATATAATCAGTAATAACGTGATTTAATTAAATAGACAATTTTATATTGCTCTTAATTTAATTAGAAAATTTGCTTTATTTTTAAGTACTAATATCCGTAATGATAATAATAATAATTCGTTATGTCTTATACATGTACCATTTTTATTTATCATAATAGA